GCAGAAAACATTTTCTCCGGGACTCAAACAAAATAGAGCATTTCGGGATTGTGATTTTGTTTCTGTAAGCAAATTTATTTGTTACGTCGTTCTTCTACCAAGCTACACTGGGAATTAAACTCAGAATATTTCTGTGGAGTTTCGACCCCGCCTATGTTTTCTTCCTCGTCTCAAAGAATAATCATAACAGGTTTTGTGCAAGTAGATCCAAGTTTCTCGAGGTATATACAGAATATAAATGATTACATACCCACAAATTTATCTTATATTTCTTAAAACTACGCTGTTAAATTGTAATTAACGTCAACGTTGTAAAGGTACGTTGTGCCTGTTCCATGTTTAATAACTTATAGAATTACGAAATAACATCTTGCTTCCTTAGTAAATCAGCATTCGAAAACTATTAAGCAATAATTTATTTGGGGTCGAACTATGCTTGTCCCCGATTCTCAAAACTAATTGACTCATGTTAAAATTAGGCAAATTAATGTATTTTATGACTTCAAGACTAATAATTTGGCAGCATTAAAATGCAAATTCAACAGAATGTTTGTTACAACGCAATTTTGACAGGTTTTTTTACCTGGTTCCGGAATTGAAACGGAGTAAATGCAATCCTTCGACAATGATATACTTTGACCTTACAATTTGCGCTGAAAACAACTTCCATTCTCAAGCTCTCGGACACTCACTTTAGTCGGGACGAAAGAGAAAACTACAAATGTCCGAAGAACCCAGTTGTACTTTTTAAATTATTGTACAACATTTTGATTTCGACACCACATTTCCTCTTGATAGTAGCCTTCACTAGGTCTACGCTTCTAAGCCATGGAAGAAATCCACTACTTCCACGAGGCTCTCAAGTTTTATAGGCAGTCCTTCACCTTCTCTCACACGTCTCGACTCAGATATTTGTGTTGCATTGTTGTACTATTATGCTGTGACTTTGCATGCAATTTGGAGAGGTTTACTATAGTACCATCTATTCTTTTCAAATTCCACAGAAAAATGTCTAGAACATTTAATTCAGGTGAGCATATAGGTAATAAAAATGAAACTTCATGTGCGCGACAAATCTACGGTCAGAGCACTTTTTGAAACATCATTGACTACTTCAGAATTGTAATATGACGGAGCACCATCATGTTGAAAACACAAACGAAGATGCGTATTGCAGGACCCAGCTTCCAATAACACTTCCAAGGTCTCTGCTAATACAAATGATACTCAAAACGAGTGGCGTCCAATTCCAGCATTTATCATGTGAAATATGGAATGCATCCGAGATCTTCAAACGCAAAAGATTTTATTTTTCAAGTTGCGTCCAGACATGTGTCTGTAAACGTGGACACAGTTTCGAGCAAACTCCTTTAAGAAAGCAAAAACAAATACGTTATTAACAGTTCTTGTTTTTCTTTACGCGGTATAAAAAGTCAAACTTAAAAAGTCGAAATTATAATGCAGCAACTTTTTATAAAAGGCTGTCTGGATACATATTTATATGATCTTCATGATATGATATATAGAAACAGACAGACATTCTGATTAACATTTTACGATACGCATAAAAGCAAACGGTAGGTGACGTAACTGTGTAGGCCTACAGCGAATCACATATTTATCGAAGTAAAAAAGTTCAGTGTGAAGTTTCTAGCAATGTGCATTCCCTATCCAGTGTTACGTCAAGCGAAGCGATCGTGACTAGAATAACGGTATGTTATGTTTTCCAAATTGCGTCTTATGTCGTAGAACCAAACGCTGCCCGCGAAGCTCAACTGCCAAGCTCTTGGATATCCCAAACTATCACTCTGACCGACGATCGCGTTGAAACATCGCGAATATATTTCTGAAATATGTGAAATATGCTCATCAGATACTAGAAAAATAAATGGAAATACAATGGACCGTATGCCCATTGTTTATAGACATCAAAGGCCTACGAAGTGTTATACAACATTCACATTGAATTCAGCATACCAAACAAGCTTTTGAGTCCATTATCAATGTACTTATAGTAAAATTCATATAAGAGATTATTTATCTGACTCATTTTCCATCATACCGTTTAAAATAAGAAGATGATTTGTCTCCATTGCTTTTTAACTCTGTGTTAGAATACGCAATCAGAAAATTTCAAAATAGGGAGGAGGGTTTGCAATTGAATGGAACATATTAGCTATTGGCTTATGCTGATGATGTTAATTTATTTGGTGACGATATTAATATAATAATGCAAAACACAGAAGTTTTACTAGAGGCTAGTAGACAGGTGGGGCTAGAAGTAAATTCAGTAAAAATATAAGTACATATTAGTATCCCGTCAGGAGGCAGGTGGGCAAAATCATATTAGGGTTGCTAATACGTACATCCTTTGAATGCGTGGCAATGTTCAAATATTTGAGAATAACAATAACAGGTAAAAATGACATTCATGGGATAGTTAGGAGAGTAAATTCCATAAAGCCTTGCTACTTCTCAGTTCAAAATATTTTGTCTTCCCGTCTGATTTCTAAGATCAGGGAGATTAAAATATACAAAACAATAATTTTGCCTGTTGTATGGGTGCGAAACATGATCTCTCACTTTCAGCGAGGAACACAGATTTCAGTTGTTTGACAATAAGTTGTTGAGGAGGTTATTTGGGCCTAGGGGATAAGAGGAAGGGATAAGGTGAAAACTACATAGTGATGAGCTTAAAAATCTATACTGCTCCTCCAATATTGTCAGGGTGATTCAAAGAATGAGATGGGAGGGGCATGTGGCGCTCACGAATGGGGTAAGGGGTGTGCGCCGGGTATTGGTCAAGCAGCCTTAAAGAAAGAGACCACTGGGAGACCTAGACGGAGATGGAAGAATAATATCAAGCAAGATGTGTGGGAGATAGGAGTTCAATGTGACTAGATTTTGTAGCCTAGGAAAGGGACCGGTGCTGAGCTTCAGTTAATTCGGTGATGAACATTCGGGTTCCAAAAGCCAGCTAATTAGTGAAATGTGTTCATCTGGCTCAAGATAAGGGTCGGTGCTGGCTTCTGTGGGCTCGAAAATAAACTTCCGCGTTTCATAAATTAAGGGGAATTTCTCGAATGTCTATGTATCAGCTGCTAAAATAGGCCTCCCCTCTAGTGATGTCCTCATATCTATAGTTTTACTAATTGTCCGATAGAATGCTCTAGAGTTTCAGAACATGCCACTACATTCGCTATATTCCTCATCCGTCAACTTTGACCTCACCATGGAGGGGAAACGTTGTGGACGTAATTCCGACAACGCTTAAAGCATTCAGTACTAAGAGTGCAGTAACACAAGGTTCCTGCACAACTTTAGAATATAATTGCGGACAATTACAATATATTCTATATTGATGACAGTAATATTATGGCAATTGTGTTCATTACTTTGTCGGAACTTTATCCACAAATTTCCGTAAAAATGACTGACACACTTTTATTTATCTGGAAGTAAACGTATCTTCCGCATTCTGGTTATTTTCTTGAAGACTAAGTTGATAATAATATAATCCGGAACACATGAAGTTACTATTACTGTAAGGAAATATACACAAAAATTGTTAAAAATTAAAGAAGGTGATTTGAATTCTTGAATAATCAATTTTCTTTGACAGACTGAATCTTGATTGAAACAGAAAATCAATAGACAATGTCATTGTCCAATGGCAAAAGATACAAAAGTCTCTTTGGCCCTATATCACATATTCCACAGCACTGTCACCATATAAACACGCTATTCATTACAGATTACTGTCTTATGGGCTGTTGCGCCGTGTAGTATGGTAAACGTTTACCAACGTTTCAGAGGTCATACTGCCAAAGTCATCGGGGCGATCACCCTGATGGGCCGTGTAGTATGGTAAACTTATACCATACTACGTATATGGCGGAACAACCCACAAGACAGCGATCTTTAGGCTCAGCGCCGTAAATACCTCAAATCCTACGCTATTCATTCTTTCCTGTAAGAAACTGGGTGAAATATCACATGCCCTGGCTTTATTTCTTGTTTCATTACAATGCAGAAAAGCTCGAACAAGTATGTTTCTGTAGAGAATCGTATTTTTTATAAAATATAAATGCAGTTTGATCCACTCGTAATATGATATTCTGATATGATGTAATTCAAACAAGTCGACAACTTACACAATTCATTTGTTGTATTAGGAGGCACTCTGTTAAATCCCCCGAAATATTACGAAATTATTGTAATAGGGATTTATAAATTGATGACAGAGGGAACAGATTTAAAGAAGCGCTGGAGACAAACATGTAAATATGACGAAGTACGGTATGATTCATTTTATAATAACATATTTCAGTTTTCGAAGTCGGCAGTTACTCTAGTTTAAAATATGTTTTAACCGCAAGTGCTTGATGTTGTCAAGCTCAATAGACGCTACTGAAACGGTTGTAGAAATTTTTATCATCGTTGCTGCTATATTAGGATGAAAACCAATTGGCTTAAAACAATGATAGGTTGCTTCCAAAATTATTTGTACAGAGGAAAAAATAAATTTCAAATTTAAATGATTTCTACAGTTGGTTTTGAGATGATTGTTTATTAACAATTGCTTAGCATTAGAAAGGAACATTAAAAAGAATTTAGTACATTTGTACACATCTTTTATGTGAAGTAATCACACCGTTTCTGATCAAAGTTGTAATAACGCCTGTGGTTCACCCTTCCAATTAGAAATCATGCAAAACTGAAAACATACATTTTGAATTTAATTCCCCACCTTTTTAAATTTTAATATTAAACAAATTAAATTTTGATGACCAGACTTGCGATTACACCTATGCTATTTTCAACACACAAATATGGCGAAAACATTTTATGAAGAAAATTATAGGCTCATTCATCCTTGCAAGAAAAGAGAATCATAATAACGAATCATAAAATTGATCTTCTTCTCCACTTTGTCGTTAGGAAAATCACTAAAATGTATTACAGAATGATTATTAAATTGTACTTTTAATGTTTCTTAGACTCAACGGTGAGCGCATCATCTGGCCAGAATGAAGTATCTTGTAGCTGCGATAAACTTCCTGTTATGTGTACTTCTCAACGGGAATGAAGCAGCCAGTACCCAAAACCGTGGGGTTTTAGAAGCGATACTGAAGTTTATACCTGAAGGAACACGATTTTTCAATGAGGAACCACCAGATACGAATAAAATCCTTCCAGAATATGATTTTATTGTAGTTGGTGCTGGTTCGGCCGGTTGTGTAGTGGCCAATCGCCTCAGCGAAGTGTCCGACTGGGACGTCCTTCTCATCGAAGCCGGAGATAAAGAGAACTATATAATGGATATTCCTAATATTGCAAATTTGTTGCCATTCACTGAGGCGAACTGGAAGTATAAATCCGTTCCAAGTAGCTACTCGTGCCTCAGCATGGTAAACAGACAGTGTAGGTGGCATCGAGGGAAAGTGATGGGAGGAACTAGTTCTATTAACTTCATGGTCTACACTCGGGGAAATAAGAGGAGCTACGATCAATGGGAGGAAATGGGGAATCCTGGATGGGGGTACAAGGATGTGTTACCATTCTTCCTCAAACATGAAAATATGAACATTCCAGATTTGGCTTGTAACAAGAAGTACCATTCCACGGGCGGGGAACTAACCATCTCCTATGCCCCATACCGCACTCCATTAGCTGATGCTTTTGTAAATGGTGGCAAAGAGATGGGGTATAATATAATTGACTATAATGGAGAAAAACAAAATGGCTTCAGTTATACGCAATCAACGACAAAGAATGGTACTCGATGTAGCGCATCAAGGGCATTTCTACATCCAATAAAAAATCGGAAGAATTTTCACGTCAAAAAGAGAAGTCGTGTAACTAAAATTTTAATCGACCCAGTCAGTAAAGTAGCATACGGTGTTGAGTTTGTCCAATACAACAAGAAATACAGAGTGCTTGCAAGAAAGGAAATTATATTATCAGCAGGTGCCATTAATTCTCCTCAGATTCTTATGCTCTCAGGAATAGGACCAAGGAAACACCTTACAGACATGAATATTCCTGTTTTTCAGGACCTGAAGGTCGGATACAATCTCATGGAACATGCAGGAATCCCATCCCTTCAATTTATCATAAACCAGTCCGTTACTTTTATCACTAATGATCTCATAAGAAATAGGAGTGCGTTTTTAGATTATTTTTATTATCACCAAGGCCCGTTTTCCGTACCAGGAGGGGCCGAAGGAATCGCATTTCTGGATACAGGAAATCCTAGTAACCCAGACGGTAACCCCGAAATTGAAATTGTTTTACTAGCATCCAGCGTTTCTTCCGAAATAACATATCATAAATTGCTGGGGTACACTGAAGAATTTTATAATGCTGTATATAAACCAGTTGAAGGGGTTCCTTCTTTTACGTTAGTGGCGGTGGTTTTACAACCAAAATCTAAGGGTAGGATTATGCTGAAATCTGCAGATCCCTACGATAATCCTCTCATATATTACGATTTATTCAGCAATCATGAAGACGTGGAAAAACAGGTACTTGGAATAAAGGAAATTCTGAAGTTGAGTAAGACGAAGGCGTTTCAAAAGTTCGATGCCAAGTTACACGATATTCCTGTACCTGCCTGTAAACACCTGCAGTTTGGCTCGGATGATTACTGGCGATGCGCAGCAAGACACACGTCTATAGGCCTCTGGCATCATAGTGGAACTTGCAAGATGGGTCCTTATTGGGACCCTAACGCTGTGGTGGACCCCAGGCTCAGAGTGTACGGTGTGAAAGGTCTTAGAGTCATTGATGCTTCTATTATGCCAACGATTGCTGATGCGCATAGTAACGGTCCGTGCATGATGATTGGAGAGAAGGGAGCTGACCTTGTGAAAGAGGACTGGGGGCATGGGGCAGCTTCTCACTGACCATTTTTTAAACATAAGGATTGAGCTTCTATGTTGTTTAGATAGAAATGTTTTGATTGCTTGCAACGTTATTGAAATTTTGAAGCCCGAAGCTGATGTAATATTTAAAAAAAATCAGTTCTACAACTGAAATACAAGGCGTCCCCATTACAAAATCAACTGGTCTCCTTTTAATCGTATTTTACTCCGTCGATCAAGCGAAACTCATAAACACACTATGTTAGAGAAATGACGACATTCTAGATGTTGAAGAAATATATTTCACTGAGCTTTAAAGGGTTGAAAACTTTGCATGCAACCATGTTGTTTAGATATTACAGACCATGGTCATTTATAAACGAAATGTATTTACATATTATGTTGCAAGTATTTAATATTAATCATATAATCAAATTAAACACATTCTGTAAATTAATGTGGCAGGTATTTTATATGAATGTTTAATATTAATAAGTATAAGCATTTTATATTATCCTTGGGCTTACATTATTTGTGACAAATAATAAAATTACATTTATGAGGTTTGACACTAGCACGTATTTTGTTTAACTATATTATCATAAACTGTACACCTCATGATAAGTACTGTGTTCCGATTCGAAAAGTGTATGCAGTTTTTACTACCTCAGCGATACACAAATTCTCCCGTCCAAAAGATATTTGATTGAGTGCGAAACCGGCCATACACCGCTCTCTTGACTTCGTCATAATCTGCAAATCGGTGACTTCTCAAAGTCTCCTTCAAGAGTCCAAAGAGATGAATATCAGAAGGTGCAAAATCTTAATTGTATTGTGAGTGGTCAAAAGCTTCGAACAACAATCTATGGATGGATTTCCTGGAGCAGGAAGAAGAAAACGTAGATGTTTTCGTGCGACAAAAGAATCACTTACTACAATCTTCCTATCAAAATCATAGCTTCTGCCATTTCCTCTTCCTTTGTACGAGTCTACGACAGATATGGCATTTTCGCAACCGAAATACACCGACGTACCACGTTCAACGTTACATAGAGCGGTAGTTTGAGGCGTTGACTCACGAGTTCCAAAGCTCCCAATTTTGTCAACAGTGAAGCTTGCTTCTGCGGCAGGTAGAAAGTAATTACAAATATATTTGGGTAACACTCGTAATATTTGTGTCGGACATATCCATGGTATCTTGTATCTAATTCTTGAATTGACCGTCAGCTAAATCCCTTTCTGTACAGACTCCACACTGACAGCAATTTTTCCCTCCATGATCGCAATGAACTGCCTCAGCATCGCTCTCGCAGCTCACGATTTACCAAGTCAGACACCTCAGTTCGTCAATCTGACTCAGTCACTAGCCCCGACGAACCAACCAACCAAGAAGCTGACTAAGGGCTGAGTCGTGTGCAATCGCATAGATTTTGAATAAAAAGGTGTTCCCAATACTTTGTTTTAATTTGTAGTTATTCCTCGATGGTTTCAGTATCTCAGACTATGTAGAGTCGAATGCTAGTAAATGATGAATGAGAAAGGATATGGAAATAAGCGGTCATACTGTAATTAAAGGCATTGTTGCGGTATTTTCCTGGACAAAATGAGACAAATCACATAAACGTAACGAAATCAGTCTATTTCCATAATGAGAAATGAACCTTTGACTTACAAAGGAGAAAACAATACATCAAACATTCTTTAAAACGGAACTCTTTGATTCGTAACGTGTATAAGTAGAGAAAATATACTTTAACATTGATGACTATTGTATATATGAATATGGAGGCAAGTAATGTATTCTGTTAAAAGTAACGACTTACTTTTCGATAAAATTTGAAACACCACAATCAAATAATTAGCATTCCTTTATCATATTACTGAGACCCCGAGGTATAAACTCTTAGCCCGAAAATCTGCTATTCTGCTTAAGGCATTTCGTGGAAATTCTCAGTCAATCCGGGCAATTAACTAGATAATAGAAATTACGGCACTGGAGATTATTTTTAGGAAAATTGGAACTAAGGCTATTATCATTCCACTCTCACTTTCACGTCATTGTTTACAACACGCAACTGAGTTCACCGACACCACGGCCAACTTTAAAGACAATGCACTGCACGATTAATCTTTTACATGCATCGTCTTTTGACTGCCTTAATTAACACCCAAATCCACATGCTCCAGTGCTTACATCAACAGCAAGGTCAATGACGATAAAGGTATTCAGCGCAAGAAGGGTCAAGTCATAAACTGATTATCATAAAACACAATGGACTTTGCTCTTAAATTAAGCCTTTATAACATGCAGAGCTTTCTGACTGACATAATGAACTGAAACACAAAAGCCAACTCAGCAGAGGCTGGGGTTAGTCTGAGTGAAGACCATGTTAAATATAAATGTCGTTATTATGCAGAATGATATTTGACTTTGGTTTTTCATCACTCTCTGGCCTTATTCGAAGAAAATGGCTGTTTTCTGGGTTGTTAACCATGTAGTCTGGTAGTCAATCCAAACGACAGCCACTTCAGACTCACCGTCATGAAACCTCATAACCTAATCCCTGACCTTTTATACGATATGTTATATTTATTAAATTAGATAATAACCCTAGTAACCCTAATGGTGTCATTTAAAGGTGCTGTCAAGTCAGATTATCCAGTGTCGAACTATAGGATGAGTAATGAATAAATGGTAATAAAATGAAAAGAAGTGGCCTTGGATTATTGAAGTAGACGTGGCCTAATTTCACATGCTGTCCTAGTATTTCCTTTCATTCTCTGTGTGTTGCTATGATATGCAATGCCACTCTGCTAAAATATCTGTACGCTTCTAAAAAAAAAAAAATTTTACTAGAACATTGTGAACAGTTTTGCTTACTAAATATTTTTCTGTGATTATACCCTGATCGTTTACTGAATTATAACTGCTGTAAATAAGTCATCGAGAGATTTAGAATATTGTTCTTTCTTGAGTTGTGGACACTTACATCTAAAGTCCAAAATAGCAGAACCCGCAGAAAAGAATGAAATAAGACAGACATCATAAACAAAGACGATGACAATCGTTAAAAAACTTTGAGAGTTAGTATTTATTAGCATAACAAAATATGTCGTAAATAAAGCCCAGACTTAAGGTACCTGTACTAAGGTTTAGGAAAACTGGGTGAGTAACATAAGCAGAGTACAGTTATAAACATCTCTGGGACATCACTGTGGTCCAGTCGTTTGAATACCAGTCTAATGTTCTAAAAGTCCCAGATTCAATCCCAATATCAGCATAGAGACAAAATATGACCTGAAGACCTGAGTAGAGGAAGAACTGCACACAATTCTGTGGGTTATTAGTCAGACCTAACACAACTAAGAAGCGCGGAATTCCTTAACAGTTTACTATGAAAACATAATTATTTAAGCCTAAACGTGAAACGAGGAAGATATGTTCAAGAAACCTTAAAGTAATTAAAGATTCAACTGTCAAAATTATATATTTAGAAATCCTTTGATTTATATGTAGCGTGTGTCTACTTGCGTTCATGTGTGTGTGCACGCACGCGAAAAATCAAAAATGTTGGGATCCATAAATAATAAATGAATATATTCTGCCATTGTCAATGCAAGGAGATTTTACTACGAAATAAATTTATCGGAGTTTGAAATACTACTTTATTTTCTTCACAAGTCATACAGGTTGCATAGAATTTCACTGGTTCCTAACTTTGGAGACTCACCCGCAAATTTAAGGATTAGAGAGCCAGTTAGAAGACCTCAATTGGATATTACTATTCTGTGTGTGTGTTGCAGTGGCTAGGTCTAATTTATGGAAAAGTGACGCAACAATTGTACGTGACATAAGCGTATGTGTATCATCATCCACAAAAGTCACATCACTGGAATAATTGTATGCTTCCAATTTTAATTTGATAGGATGTCTCTATGTGCAAAAGGCCTACTGAACAAAGGAGTAAACCTTCGAAAATGGGCAGCAACATACCTAAAAATGTGTTGCAAAATGAGTAGCGGATTGAAGAAAATGGGTGCTTATCAGTGCTGAGGAAATAAAGCTACTTGTTTCGAAACATGTTAGTGCGACGTACCGATTAAGATATGTTTTAGTAAGCCATAATAAATAGAAATAATACGATTATTGAAATATGATATCAATAATTTTTGTTCATTAGCCAGCGCTGTTACAGTAACGAAAAAAAAGATTTGAATTTATTTGACACACGAATTTCTATGGAAGGACAACTATCTATTACCGTCTAATACTATAGAATCCGAGATCTTGGATACGGGAATAACAACAAATAGTCAACAAGGTTAAATTTCAAAATCTGAGATTTTTTTAGGAAGACTCATCATCTTTGATTTGATCACCTTAATAATGCTAAGGTAAGAATGGATATTGTACGTTAGATAGTTATACAGGTAAGGAATACGTGAATCTGTACCTCCACTCCCCATACTTCTGCATGGTATAGCGCTTAGATAAGCAGCGAGCAGATGTTTACTTATTTACAGTTACGTTAGGCGGTTGCATACAGATAACTTGTGTGAAAATTATCATTCTTCCAACAAACGTATTTAAACTAACTAACTAGATGGCTTACTGAACCCGAAGGTTCATCACCGAATTAACCAAAGCCTTCCACCGGACCCTGTACCTGGGCCAACAAAATCCAGTCTCCTTCAACTCCTATCTCTCATAGATCCCGCCTGACATTATCCTCCCAACTACGTCTAGGTCTCCCCAGAGGTCTCTTCCCTTCAGGTTTCCCAACCAGTATCCGGTGCACACCTCTTGTCCCATCCATGCGCCCTACATGCCCATCCCATCTCATTCTTCTCGACTTAATCACCCTCACAATACTGGGGGAGGAGTACAGATTTTTAAGCTCGTCATTGTGCAGTTTTCTCCACGCCCCATCGCCTTCCCTCTTAGGCCCAAATATCCTCCTCAACACCCTGTTCTCAAACACCTGCAATCTATGTTCCTCCCTCTGAGTGAGTGACCATGTTTCGCATCCATACAAAACAACAGGTAAGATTATTGTTTTGTATACTTTAATTTTCAGGTTCTTAGAAATCAGACGGGAAGACAAAATATTTTGAACTGAGAAGTAGCAAGCATTTCCAGAATTTAATCTCCTCCTAACTTCCTCATGAGTGTC